CCCCCCCCCCCCCCCCGCACCCCAAAAAAAAACAAGAAAAAGGACATGAAAATGTTTGAAGAAGACGAGTACTCTTGTTGGTGCTTTCTCTAAGACAATTCTTGCTCTGATTATGATCCCAAACTGGCCTAGACTTCCTAAAACTGCAAAAAACAGCTCCGAATTTGTCCGCTTGGAACAAGTGACAAGTTCCCCTTTACCTGAAATAAAACAAGAAACAAGATATTGAACATGATGAGTGTTTAAGTAAATAATTTTTATACCATCAAGTCACATTTATATACATACGCTAACATGTAACATATCTTATTTTCATTATTCTAAATTTCGTATTTGAAGGATATTCACCTAGAAATATTATTTGGCTGACGCAAAAAAAATTCTTTATACATACTTCCCTTATATATATAAGTATATAACCTAAAATCACATTACCTCTGACAGATTATAATAAGGCAGTACATTATTTTTCCTACCTACAAGATCTTCCGGGGAAAAAAAAAACTGGGTTTCTCAGAAGCATCACATCCGATCATTGGATGCTACACACATCTTTTACATGGAAAATAAAATGAAAACTGATAACTGGATTTTGACTTTTTCAAAACAAACAAATATATATACGGGACACCCTAAATAGGAAAGTGAAATTACCCAAAACATAATGTAAAAGGAAAAAGATAATTTTAAAAGAAAAGAATACTGCTACAAGTTATGTCACAATATTACTATTTGGGAAATCAAATATTTTTTATTTAAATATAAGTATGTTAACTTATACTGAAAATAGATTTTTCGATTTACTTGTGCATTGCAGAAACTCAAAAGAGAATTAATTATTTTTCGAAATTTATATATCAATTTCATTAAGTAACTATTTTCGAGACTTATTGGAGTACTAGTAGTCAAATTCAGATTTTCAAAGAATAGTATAATTACCATTAATAAGGGTAATTTAGTAAAATAAATAATTGTTAATATTTTTCTTAAGAGCATTGCATAATATATTCTGAACAAGTAAAAGGAAATATTGAAGAGAATGATACTTTTCACATAATTTATAAATATGTAAATAAAAACTTGAATCAATAAATTCCTAAATTCACACAAATAATTACTACTCCCTCTGTTCCACTTTATGTGAACCTATTTCTCTTTTGGTCCATTTAAAAAAAAAGACTCATTTCTAAATTTGGAAACAATTTAGCTTAAACTTCTAATTCTACACTTAATGAGAAGCTTTTATAACTACACAAATACTACTTTTACCACAAGTTTCGAAAGAATTATAGCCATACAAATATTCTCACTTATTTAGGACCACAAAATTCAAAAGTCTTCATTTTTTTCCTTAAACTTCTTGTTTAATCAAACGGATTCACATAAATTGGAACAGAGGGAGTAGGTGTTAAGACATTATTGGAAACCAACAACAACCCAGCAAAATCCTACAAGTACGGTCTGGGAAGGGTAGAGTGTACACATTCCTTACCCCTACCCAGAGGGGTAGGCTGTTTCTGAAAGACCCTCGGCTCAAAAAGAAGAAAAAAATAATAGACAATGGGTCATTGACAGCAACAGAAGCGAGAAAAATAATATCAGCATAGTAAGAAACATAAAATAGATGGAAAAACAATAACAATAACCAGTAATAATGTCATAGAAA